CTTATGACCAAAATTGAGCCCAGAATTTATGTTGCCAAGTGATAAATTTGTTAAGTGAGTTTTGCCCCATTTTACAACTTTTCTTGTTGCATTTGTTAAGTGAATCACTGCAGTTGGTAAGTTAAGTGTGTCTGACTTCCCCATTGACTGTCCTTATCAGAAGGTCGCAAAAGATGATCATGTGACTCCAGGACACTGCAACCATCATAAATATGAGCCAGTTTTCAAGCATCTGAATGTAAATCATGTGACCATGAGTGTAAAAAATGGTCATAAGTCGCTTTTTTCATTGTGACTTTGAATGGTCATTAAACGAACTGTTGTAAGCTGAGGACTACCTATACAGTGTATTAAGGGAATCTTTGATCACATGCACTTATTGAAAAAGCAGCATATGAAAAAAGTTTTAACTTTTTAAAAAAATAATCCATAGATATTTTAAGGGAATGGTAAATAAATAAATTTAACACCGATTTGATTTAATCTCCTTTCATGAACTTTTCTCGCAAGAAGCATGAAGATGGATGGATGCTTACTCTATCGAGAGAAAAAGAGCTTCAACTAAGCAACAAGGCTAGACATTCAGTCTCTATAAGCACTTAAGATTTAGAATTTACCATCGCTATGTTTTGCAACTGAAAAACAGTATATTGCTAAATCACATTGATGTCATCCCTTCTTCTAAAAGTCAGAAGTTAAGAAGTGGAACCAGGGTCAAAGAATGTATAATTCCAGGAAGTTGTCAACATGACAAATATTAAAATATGTCTTAAAGTTAAAAATATAATCTTTCTGCCTTATATCGTGGCCCCTTTAACTGTTTCCAAGACTACAAGTCTTCCCCCAAAATAGTAGTAACCAGAAAACTATGATGGAGCCAACGAGAGAAAAAAAAAAGGATCAGTGTGGACTATAGATAAGGGCATTATTTAATTTTTTGGCCGGGGTTCTGGGTGTCCTAACCTGCAGTGGTACATTATTTGTAGCCTTTGAAGTCTTTTCACTGTAATCCCACATATATGGGCCCCCAAAGTCATTTGAAAATTTTTCTCTGAATTGCAAATCTTAACCTGGCAAAGGTGAAACAGTATTAACTGTATTGAATTAAACCAAACTTAGCTCCTATACCTTTTTCGGATTATCCATGGCATCCGACGCAAAAACTAAATCTAGATTTTGGCGCAAACATTACCGCATGGAAAAATCCTACTTTATATGGTGGTGATGTGTAAAACAGTAATCAGTTAAACCTTTTTAAATGATAAAAAGTTAAAAATGAATAGTAAAGCTATGGAAACTTTATTCTTTTTATTACTGCTATTGTTGTTATGGCTGAGAAAAAATCTGAACAAAATGTGATCCTTACTGTACACAGACACTTAGGCAGCATTTGTTTAGACACGTTAAACTAAACATATCTTTGCTTAGGTTTGTTTAGGAAGAGATTTGTTCATATAAGAGTCTTCAAATGGGAGATCTGCATCCCATTGAGCACTCTGAATTCATTCTGAATTCTCCTTGGAACCTAATTGTTATTGACTAGTCATTAATTTTATGTACAAACTCTCATAAAAATTATTTCTATGCTAGTAAAGATTGTACGCCTTTTCCTCCCTCCCTCCCAGTGTTGACTCCTGGCAATTGACTCAACAAGTCCCCACAGTTTTCTTGCCAAGATTTCAGGAGGAGTTTTCCATTGCATTCTTTCTAGGACTGGGAGAGCATGGATGGCCCAAGCTCATCTAGCTGGCTTTGTGATCTGCAGTTTTTAGCCTGGAGTCTTAACCACTACACTAAACTGGCTCCCCGTCATCTAAATGTAACCAAACAAATGCAGTCAAATACAACACTACCTACTCCACTAAAATGTATGCTATTTATAACTGATCAAGTCCTATGCAGGTAGTCCTCAATTTACCCCCATAATCGAGCCCAAAATTTATGTTGCCAAGCAAAACAGTTGTTAAGTGAGTTTCGTCCCTTTTTATGACCTTTCTTGCCACAGTTGTTAAGTGAATCACTGCAGTTGTTAAATCAGCAAGAATTATTGAGTGAATCTGGCTTCCCCGTTGACTTTGCTGGTCAGAAGGTCGCAAAAGGTGATCACATGACCCTGGGATAGTGCAACTGTTATAAATAATGAAAACCAGTTTCCAAGCATTTGAATTTTAATCACATGACCATGGGGTTGCTGCAACAGTCATAAGTATGAAAAACGGTCATGTCACTTTCTTTAGTGCTGTTTGGATGGCCATTAAATGAATGGTTACAAGTCAAGGACTAGCTGTGCTTTCATCCACAGAAGCCTGTATGATTTAAAGGAAGTAAAGGTTCCGGTCTAAAAATATATACAGGTAAATTTTATAAAAAAAAGAGGGAACCAAAGTTAGCACTGACTTAGCCACGGTAAAATTCTAGGTTAAAACAAAAGGGCCATTAATTCTTCAGGAAAAGCTTTCTGATAAAGCCATGGCTTCACCCTGTGACATCAAGATGACAGACTGAGAAGACAGCTGGCGAAATGTCTGTGAACTAGCTCCAGAAGTCCTGGCAGTGTGTTTTTGCAGCTCTAAAAAGAATGCACAAAGCAGCACCTCCAAACAGATTGGAAGAGGGTGGGGGAATATTTTGTAAGAATAACACGCACAAGTAAGTCCTGAGCTCATGCCAGGAATAATATATATAGTCCCTTCAAAGTAAATCCCTGCTTAGGATTGTATACTCATGCAATAGATTTGAGAAAGAAAGAAGAGCTGCACATTTCCCATTTTTTCCTCCTGAGATAAGTCTTAGACATCACCTCAAGAGTCCCCTCTTTCACAGGCTAGGTTCACATGACACGCATATCCGCGGTTAAATAAACCATGACTTTCTCTATTGACCCAATTTTTCTGTGTTCACATCACATACTGAAGTTCACACAATATGTTAGAGGAAAAGCATGGTTGGCTGTGGTTCAACATTTTGGATAAACACTGTTTTTGTGTTTTTTAATGTTGCCTTGAGCTCCTGTAAGAAAAGGCAGGATATAAATAACATAAATAATCATGAAAGAGCTTTTCACTGAAACTTGCCAAACTGCAAGCTGAAAAAAATCTCATTGTTCCCACTCCCCTCAGCCCAGGAGAAGGAAAAGCAATCTTCACCCTGAAGGGAAACTTGGTTTTATTGTTTTAATTTACTAAATGTGCTCATAAAATGGCTTATAAAGCATTCCTTCTATCCTATTTCAAAAGGAAATATCAAGTTTGCTGCTCCACTAAATAGCCTCCTGTCCCACCCCATTCTGTCATAACTGTTTCTCAACGTTCTTTCCATTCTCTCTTCAGAAGCGAACCAGTTTTTGTCACAACTAAGCAACTGTAGTAGACAGGACAGAGATGCATTGTACTATTATTTCTTGGTCCATAGACCAATTTGTTTCAACGTCCCCACCCAACTTTTTATGAGAAACTGAACATCTTCAACCCTCCTAAAGACTGCACAAGTTTTGTTCTCCCTTTAAAAAATTGTTCCAATTTGCTTTTAGTTTCCTTTTTCTGATATCTTCTCAAAACCTGGAGAATTCTTGGACACGCAATCTCTTCAACTCTTATTTCCAACAACAGACATATCTATCTATCTATCTATCTATCTATCTATCTATCTATCTATCTATCTATCTATCTATCTATCTATCTATCTATCATCTATAGGTATAGATGCTAAAAATGAAATATTCTGTCCATATTTGTTACATTTATGTATGATTCTCTTTCTTTTGATCTAATAAATCCTCAGTTTAATGTGTGATTTTATTTGTCATAGATTTCCTTCCATCGTTCTTTCATTCTGCAACTTCAGAGGTTGGTCTGTGGTCTCAGATTCTTCTGATTTGGAAGGATTGCACATGTATACGCACACTTTCCAGGATAAGTTGGTATTGCAGTTTGTTGTTGCTACAGAATTTGTGTCTCCTTCCTTCTTCTTTTTTTTCCAAAGTGCAAGTAGTGCTCGATACTCTTAAGGAAGTAATTAGCCATTTGCCCTTCTCAAAACTCACAGCTAAGTAATGTGTTTTTCTTCACTTTTGGTGGTGGCATTTTATCACCTTGCTTGAAGAAGAACTTTAAAGTTGCAATTTTGTGACTCTGAATAATAATACTAGTTAATTAAAGACCAGACAAATTCAGGTCCCTTGAGCATTCAGCCGTAACATTTCACGAACGATTTTGACCAGTTATCCTCTCTCAGCCTACAACAATCCATTTTATAAGGTTGCTATGAAGGTAAAGTGGGGAGAATTACGATGTACACCAGCGTTAGTCCCTAGAGGAGAATGAGCCAGATGAATAAATATTGCCCGGCTTATCACTAGCTATTTCCAACAGCTTCCTTACTTTTCTCCCGGGATATTGTATCACCTTTTAAAGAGGTATGGAAAAAAAGAAAAAACAATTTCCATTTACGCTTCTCCGCCGCGTTCTCCCTAACTTTGGGGCGTGGCGAGAGGTTTTGATTTTTTTTCTTTTTTTGAGAACACAAAGAGCCGATAGACAAAGGGTTAAACGGCCTTGAACAGAACGGGCAATGGCTTCTGTTTCTCCCGCTGGATTTTTTTTTTAAAAAAAGCGCGAAGGAAAAGTTTTAAATCCATTTCGCAGAATCCCTATCTAGCGCGATCGGGCAGGGAGCACCTGGTTTCTGTCACTAATGAAGAACGAGCTCACCACTGGCCACTTCAACTCAGTGTTTAGCATTGGGGCGGGGCGGGGCGGTGGGGGGGAGACATAATAAGTCTGATTTGACCCAACGTTTTTCCATCCCGAAGACAGGACGGCACCCCGGGACCCCCGCTTAAATATTGAGACTTTGCGCCTAAGCCGCCGACTTCTCCTGGGGGGCGGGGGAGAGTAAGAGGGGCTTTCGGGAAGCTCAAATAAAATAACATTTACAAGCGGCGTGGAGGAGCCCAGCTGAGGTGGGAAGCGCGAAGGAATAGCCCAGAAGGAGACACTTACCCGTAGCCAGAAGCTGCCAGGGGGGAAGTTGAACCATGCTGCTCAGGTGCTCAAGAGCTCCAAGACCGGTGGCACCCCAGCCAGAAGTTCATGGGGATGGGTGGGAGAGGCGGGGCGGCCCCTCTTACAGTCAGAACCGCCCAAAGAAAGGAGGGCCGGTGGCCGAGAGTGGGGGCGTTTGCTGGGCTGGGCCCAGATCCTTTCTCCTCGCCCCTTCGAAGTCTGACGTATCTTGGGGTGTGGTGCGGTTTTCCTCAGCGGAGGTGCGGGGACTGCAACTTCTCCTTTTTAACAAGTAAACGTGGAGTTCCCAGCAGGCGCCCATTGCCGTGCCACACGCTCGAGACCCAGATTCGGGGCTTTGTAACGTCAAGCGGCTTTTTTTTTAGCCCGCGACGAACAAAAAAATCTTCCACGGAGGTTTGAAGGGACTACGGGATTTTTGTTGTTGTTGTTGTTGAAAGGGTCTCCTGCTTGAGCAGCGGGTTGGACCAGATGACCTCTAAGGTCCCTTCCAACTCTGTTAGTCCGTTACTGTACTGTTATTTCTGGTTCTGGGTTTTAGTCAACTTTTCTGATGCTGAGACGATTCGGACTCATGGCATTACACCGTATTTCTGGAATCGCAGCCATATTTAAAGTGGTGAGGGACAGGATTCTTCCCGAAACTTGAGGGTTTTGTTTTTTCAGTTTTCACTTTTCGCAGGTATTGAATAGCACTTCCATTCTTCCCGCTACCCCAGATAATGTGCATGAAGAAAAATAAAATTCACAGAGGAAAAATCAAAATGCAGGCTAGGGTCTGTTGCCCACACCAAGACCCATCCCATTGGAAGAGATGGGGTTTCATAGAAAGATTGCAATGAAGATGAAGCCTTCCCATACATATGGGTTAAACCCTTCCACTTTGGGTGAGCTGCCACTGAGAAAGTCTGTCCCTGAATTCCAACCCACTTTTACAAGGGGTGAAGAACCAGGACAGACCTCTTGAAATGAATGCACAAATTAGGCTGATTGTGCTTGGGGTGAGGTCGATAGAGGTTAGTTTGAGGGTAAAAGAGTGGGGGTTTGAGCATGTGATAACAGAATCAGGTAGTGAGTTCCAGACATTGACCACTCTGTTGCTGAAATCATACTTCCTGCAATTGATTTTGGAGTGGTTTACATTTAGTTTATATCTGTTGTGTGCTCTTGTGTTGTTTTAAAACTGAAATATTCATTAACTGGTAAGATGTTGTAATATATGATTTTATGTACTACGCTTAAGTCCAATCTTAGTTGGCGTAGTTCATAATGACATATGTCACTGCTGCAAAAAAGTCCTGATCTCCAAAGTCCCACAACTGGCACACCATCCAAATGTCTATGGAGATTCTCAGTCATCCAGGTCATGGTTGTCCCAAAGGTGATCTTTCAAGTTGGACTTTGTTTTTTGTTTTTTCCTTTGAAGACATTTCGCTTCTCATCCGAAGTTGGACAAGGTCCCATGACTGTGCCTTCTATCTACTGCTTGAGCAGTAATCATGGGACCAGGAGAACCTCAAATCATCAACCTGCCTTTTTAGGGAAGCCCAAAGCCATACTGGTAATTGGAATCCGGCCAAGTTGATCAAACAGCTACACAGTCTTGTAGATATTTAATCGGAGTGGTTTCGTCTCACCTGGTTCCATGTAGCCTTCTAAAGCTGAATCAGGGTCTTCATAGCACCTCCAGCCCAGCCTAAAGTGACAATATATTATTAAGTATCATTAGTGTACTGATGATACCTCGCCCCAAAACATAGCAGATAATGTCTCCCAGAAGTTCTAGACAGAAGCTAAAAAGCATTGGGGGGAAAAGACAAAAATTGTGGCATCCCAGACTGGAGGATTCAGGGGGATTACTTTTTCTTCTTGTATGCTGATTGATATTACCTACAGGCAGTTCTCAAGTTACGACCACAATGTATGTCGCTAAGTGAGAAATGTGTTAAGTGAGTTTTGCCCCATTTTACGACTTCTCATACCGTGTTTGTTAAGTGAATCACTCTGGTTGTTAAATTAGTAATATGGTTGTTAAGTGAATCTGGTTTCCCCATTGACTTTGCTTGTCCGAAGGTCGCAAAAGGGGATTGTGTGACCACAGGATACGACACCCATCATAAATATGAGTCAGTTGTCAAGCGTCCAAATGTAAATCACGTGGCTATGAGCATGCTGCAGTGGTCATAAGTGTGAAAAACGGTCATGTCACTTTTTTCAGGGCCATTGTAATTTGGAATGGTCACTAAACAAACTGTTTTAAGTGGAGTACTACCTGTACTTAAGTGGGAGATGGTGTTGCCCCTCTAGCCCTTGAAGATGGTTCATGGGGATGCCATGGTTGATGATGGTGAATGCCAAAATGCAGCCCAGAAGACTAGGAGGAGTGCACTTACCCCAGGCAAGTCCTGATGTAATCAAATAGGACAAACAATGCTATTTCTGGCCCATGCCTGAATTCTAGATATTCCAGAAATATAGAATATGAGCTGATTTATTTCTAGGTTTATTGATATGGTATACCATTTCTGCATTTCAGAAAAAAGGGCACAGGACCGAGAACACAAACCACAATTTTCAGTTGTCATTTGAGCTTTTGGTTAAACTCAAAAAGAGCAGTACTCCTTTTGTATAGGCAAAAAGCTGGATATTCTTTCTTACATATTTTTTGGACATGTCCTGGTGAATGAGAAGCCAGGAGTCTTATCAAAGTCGGTTTGGCAGAAGGAAGGGAAGAAAACAAGCCAGAAACCAACCGTCTATAACTCTTTGAGGGAGAAATGCAGAACTTCAAAGCCCTCTGTGACCTAACAAATATTGTACTGCTAGTTTCTGTTCTGTACATATCAGCACAAGTTCAGTGCCATGGATAAACATCAAAGGATGAAATAGTTTACTTTGACTAGTACCTGAATGCCTTTCAAGTTGCTCATCCTACAAATTGCTTTATAAAAGTTTTTCTTTAAAGCTAGTAAGAATTTTCGGAATGCTTTGTGCTATGGAACTAAATGATGGAATACTATTAATAACTGGACCAATTCATTTGGATCCAATTGATTTATAGAATATAGACACATATATTTTGTCCTTGTTACAACTGCATGAGCAGATAATATATGTTCACTCAAAGACTATTGCTGTAAGACTGAATCATGCTCTTACACAAAAGTCAGAAATGAAGAATATGCTAAACTGGGTGAAATACAGCTTCTTCAGATCTAAATCTTAATACTTTAAGAGCTTCCAATGAGTCAAGGCAAACCAATGCAAACTTTTTTTTCCTGCTCCACAGATGCAGGGGTATTACAGCCAAAAAGGCAGCTGGATGTCAGTTCCAGATTGAAATTCCCCATAGAACAAAGAACTGGATACTGCCCATACAGTGGATATATTTTTAGAAAAATTATACACCCCTGCTAAAATGCCAGGTTTTGAGATGTAAGAAAAAAATGAGGCTACATCTTGGAATTTTTCCCACCTTTAATATAAGATATAAACTCTGCAATTCATTTGAAAAACAAACTGAAATCTTTTAGGGAGAAACAATAGAAAATGTACAACAATATGATTGCATAAATGTGCACACCCTCTTATAAATAGAGATGTGGCTCTGTTCAGAATTAACCAATCACATTCCTAATGATGTTAAGTAGCAGTCACTATACATCTGCCATTAATTAAAGTGTCTCTGATCAATATAAAGTTCAGTTGTTCTGGTAAGATTTTTCTGACATTTACTCAGTTACCTGTAACGGCAAAAGCCTCAATCAGCAAAGAGCTTGCAAAGCATTAAGAGGAATTCCATTGTTGGAAGCTATCAGTCAGGAGAAGGGTACAAAGAATTTCCCAAGGCATTGGGTATACCATGGAACACAGTGAAGACAGTCATCAACGGTGGAAAATATAGCACAACGGTGACATTAGCAGGAATTGGATATTTCAAATTGATGAAAAACAAGAAGAAAACTGGTTGGAAAGCCTGCCAACATTAGACTAGGCAACATTAAAGGAGCTACAGGAATTTCTGGCAAGTACTGGTTTTGAACTACATGTGATAACAATCTCCCACATTCTTCATATATCTGGACTGTGGGATAAGGTGGCAAGATGAAAGCCTTTTCTTACAAAGAAAAACATCCAAGCCTGGCTACGTTTTGCAAAAATGTACATCAAGTCTGACAAAAGCATGTGAGAAAATGTGTTACAATCCAATGAGACCAAGGATGAACTTTTGGCCATAATTCCAAAAAGTATGTTTGGTGCAAAAAACAACTTTGTGCACTACCAAAAGTACACCATGTCGACAGGGAAGCAGGGCAGTGGCCTGGTTTGGAACTGTTTTCCTTCAGGTAGAACTGGAGCTTTAGTCAAGGTGGAAGGGGAATTGTGAACAGTTCCAAGTACCAGTCAATTTTGGCACAAAACCTTCAGGCGTCTACTAAAATGCTGAAGATGAAGAGGATTTTGATTTTTCAACTCAAAAATAAGTATACCTTCAGATAAACAAAACAATGTCTTCACCAGAAGAAGATCAAAGTTTTGGAGTGACCCAGTCGGATCTTAGATCTGAATCCAATTGAAAATCTGACCTGAAGTGGGCTGTGGGTAGGAGATATCCTTGCAATATGACAGGTTTTGGAGCACTTTTGCGAGGAAGACAGGGAAAAGATTCCCACGGTAGGATATGCCATGCTGATTGGCTCCTACCCCAAAAGACTGAATGTTGTCATAAACATCAAAAGGTGCTTCAACGAAGTACTAATTTAAGTGTGGGCACACTTATATAACCATGTTGTGTTTTTTATTGTTGTTTTCCCCTCTAAAAGATTTCAATTTGTTTCTCAATTGAATTGCATAGTGTATATGTTATATTAAAAGTGACAAAAATGCTGAAGTGATTTATCTTGGTCTGATTTTTTTTTTAACATCTCAAAACCATGGCATTTTAATGGGGGATATGTAGACTTTTTATATCTACTGTATGTAGTCCAAACAGCTGATTTTTGTAAGTAGACAGAA